CAGTGATAAAAACCAGCATGACTAAGGAAATTACGGATCCCTCAGATATTTACTGGGGGAGGTAACTATTCAATTACTTCAATTTTATCTCTATCTACCTCTATCCCTCTTTCGGACACCAAGTGTCCAAGCACTATGCCTTCTCTAACCATAAAATGACATTTCTCCCAATTAAGGACTAAGTGCTTTTCTTCACATCTTTTCAAAACCTCATCTAAATTTTCAAGACAATCATCAAAAGTTTTTCCATAAACAGAAAAGTCATCCATGAAAACTTCCATGATTTCCTCAATCATATCAAAAAATATAGACATCATGCATCTTTGAAAAGAAGCAGGAGCATTACATAATCCAAAAGACATTCTACGATAAGCATAAGTTCCATATGGACATATAAATGTGGTTTTGCTTTGGTCATCTGGATGGATCAGAATCTGGTGGTAGCCTGAATACCCATCAAGAAAACAAAAGAAAGAGTGGTTCGTTAGTCGCTCTAATATTTCATCAATGAAGGGCAACGAAAAGTGATCTTTCTTTGTTGCTTTGTTAAGTTTTCAGTAATCTATGCACATCCGCCATCCAGTGATGGTTCTTTGGGTGATTAATTCATTCTTTTTATTTTTAACAATAGTCATGCCTCCCTTTTTAGGCATAACTTGAACAGGGCTTACCCACTCACTATGTGGCACAAGATAGATAATCTCGGCGTGCAAAAGTTTTAAAACCTCTTTCTTAACAACCTCTCTCATTGCATTATTAAGCCTACGCTGGGGCTCCCTAGAAGGTATAGAGTAAGGATCTGTAAGGATGCGATGGGTGCAAAGAGCAGGGCTAATTCCCTTAAGGTCTTGGAGCGAGTAGCCAAAGGCAGAACGATGTTTTTCTAAGACAGTTAGCAGGTGTAGGGATTCTTCTTGAGAGAATTTATCATTTATGATCACAAGAGAATCCTGATCATTATTAAGAAAAGCTTATCTAAGACTAGAAGGCAGGGATTTAAGCTCAATGGTGGGCTTTGGTGGTTTCAACAATTCATCTAGAGGTTCGGATTCCATCGGATTTTTATCTTCTTCCTCGATGAAGAACTGGGCATCATCTTCAAAGTTGGGTTCAATCAAATAATCAAGAGATGCAACCTTAACTTCTTCCATTAGGTCTTCCTCAGGAATTGGCTCACTCTCAGCATTTAGAGAATGAGTAATGGATATAGAAAGTTTAAAGTTTTTCCCAAGTCTTATATTCAACTTCCCCATTTGGCCTTCTTGGATAAGTCTTCCAATTGGTTGTCCTATCAATAGGTCAAACTCTATAGTATCAAACATATAAAAGCTCAAATGAACTCTAGTTCTGTTGACATGGATAGGGAGGACATACAAAATTCCCAAACTCGGGACAATGTGTCCTAAAAGACCTTTCAATAACTTTGTTGTGGGGGTTAATGGCATGTGCTCCAATAAATCAAGAGCAAAAGATGCAGACATGATATTAATACCCACAACTAGATTGTAAAGAGCATCAAAAGGAGCTTGATTAATTTGGCAACGAATGGATATAGAAGGTTAATCTAAATGAATCACATCAGAGGAAAGCTCTGATTCTTCTATTCATTCATTGCTTATAATAGACACTAACTCTTTCGTAGTCTTTTTAAGGAAAGCTTCCTTAGAAGGATCTAAAGGTTCATTATTCAATGATTTCCTAGACTTCTAGGGTCTCCTCATGGTATGGTAATTTGAGGTGTTTCCATATTCATCAAAAAGTTCATCCTCGAATTCTAGCATAAAATCTAAAATCAGAGCTTCCTCCTTTTCCGGTGGTTTAGGATTTGGGACAGCTGAAGTTGGTGATGGGTCTGGTAAAGATTCGGGTTCAGCTATCTGGGATTCTTCCTCTAATGGTTTGTCTTCTTCTTCCTCAGGGATGTTCTCTAAAATTTTTCGTAAGAATACTTCTCCCCGCATTTGCAGAGACATGCAAGAACGAGCCTCCTAAGGCCGTATTAAGAAGTGTTGAGGATTCCCTATCAAGATCCATATAAAAGTGTTGAAGGAGAATATGGTCTTGAATGGCAAGGTCAGGACCAGTATTGATAAGAGTATTAAAGCGTTCACATGCCGTGTCTAGAGATTCTTTTTTCTTTTGTTTAAAAGATAGAACCTCTGAACAAAGTTTGACTACCCTAGAGATGGAAAAGAATTGCAAGAAAAAGCTAGAACATAGGGCTCCCCAATCTCCTTGTCTACTTCCTATAGTGAGATTGTACCAAAGTTTAGCCTTTCCCGTCAAAGAGAAAGGAAAAAGCTTCCATCGTAAGGTTTCGTCTAACATGCCCGCAATGTGAAGGCATGCACAGGTCAGCTCAAACTCATTTAGGTGGGAATAGGGGTTTCATCATATTCGCCCGAAAAGGGTTGATCCTGAACCATATTAACTAAACACGTGCGTAGTTCATAGCCAGGTGTTAGGATAGGCTTTAAAGACTCTTTTGGCTGTAGCCTTGCGCTCGTGGGTGCTCCATATTAGTAAATAGGGGTGGATTCTAGATCCATGGTAAAAAGAATAAAAGAATAAAAGAAAAGATAAAAGTATAATACAAGGATAAGGTAGACTCAAAGTTAACTCAGCAACCGTTCTTCGGCAACGGCGCCAGAAATGCTTGTTGGTATAAATTAATGCACACAGATTAATCCGCAAGCGTGCAGATATTATACCATTGTAGCACTTCACCGAGAGTAACCCAGTTTTATATCGAACCCAAAGGAACAGAGGTGAGAATAACCAAATCTAACTTATCTCAACTTCACAATCAATGCTAGATAATAGGAGCGTAGAGGAGTCTACTCAGGTATTCTAGTTCTAACTTTGATAAGCTTTTGTCTTCTATTATTCAATTTTAGGGATAATACTAGAGAAAACATAGATATAATATGTTTCATATAGCAATACTGTCCTGCTAGTCCTACTAACGGGAGGTGGACTACAGATGATTCAACGAGGCTATAAGTGTTACCCTCGTGAGTTACCACCGATCCAGAAAATAGGGTACATCTACGAGTAACCAAGTCTAACCACTACGCTTACACTACAAATACTACTTTAACCCAGGAGCTACAAGGATTAAATTACTCAAAAGAGAGTCGCAAACCTGAAGAATAATATGAACAAGATGCTTACTTGAATTAGAAGTTGATTACCAGAGAAATCTCAGAAGCAAGCTCAAGAAGAACTTGATTTCGCCAGGTACAAGCCATAGAGAGAGCACCAACAGGCCAGGACTCCTCCAGAACTCTTCACTTACACTCTATCTCTCTATTTCTAGAACTTGACAAGATCCTATGGAGGACTAATCTTCTCTTGATTGCTGGCTCTAATCCTGGTGGATATATGAATTAGGGTTTCTGGCTTCTCAGCTCTTAGGATCAAATGAGCATTACCTTCAGGGGGTGCAGGCTGGATTATATAGCCCTAAGGGTCCAATGTGAGCCCTTGAATCAAACCAATTTAAAAAACGGCCTAGATGCATCCTCAAAGGCGGTGGGAAACCGACATAGCGACGAGGCTGACAGGTGGGACCACATGGGGCCAAGCGGCCTGACAGTGGGACCGGGCGGCCCCACATGTCAGCCACTCGGGCTTCACTTTGGTGATGTGGCTTCTGGGTTCTTCTAGAGTTTTTCCACGTAGGTACCATGGCGGGATTCCGTATTTTTCTTTGACGATTAGGTCCTCCTTGACAGTTTTCTGATTAAATCCTGCTGGAAACACAAAGTCAACAAAACTCGTGGAATTTGTCAGTTTAAACCCCTAAGTTTACTTTAGTGATTCATTTATACTCTTATACATGTTTATTTGACGGATAAAATATGTATGATAACTACCGTCAACAGCATCACACGCCTAACCCGCAACCGAGTGCCGTACAACCAACACAAGGTGGGGGTCCACAAGCTACGAGCAATCCACTAGAGTACCTTTTGGCTCTTCGCCAGGAAAAAGATCAAGAAACCCTCACAAATATAATCCTTGATTGGAGGAGGTCACAATCACCAAATCCCCTCACCAATCTTTAAATCACCAACCGTCTAGGTGACGGCAATCACCAAGAGTAACAAGATCCACAATTGCAATCACCACCTTTTTTTCTAGAACGTGCTTAGCACGTGTTTCATTAAGAAGAAGTTTAGAAGCATACATGCTCTACATCACATCACAACGAGATGCCATTAATGATGGGGTTGAATATAAACAAAAGGCACTGCTGGACGATGAAACGCACACTAGTTTGATTAAATAAAAACTAACTGTGCAACCAAAGTGTCGGGTCAGCGCTGCCCACTAGGCATGCTCAATATCGGGCAGCACAATGCCCATGCACGCTCCAGCCATCGAGAACAGCTCACGCATGGCGGCCTGCTTTCACTCACTCACTCTTCTCCTTTGTTCATCCTTGCAATAACCCTAAGAGAATAACAAACTCTCCCCTTCTCTTCTCTCACTCTCAAGCATTTATGCTCCATTCAGACGAGAGATCGAGTTCTAGTGTTTATCTTGAGAGCTTCAAGAGCATTTTCAGCCAGGTAAAGTCGACTTCTCCCGACAATCGGCAAGGCAAGTTGAGCCGGACGGAAGAAATAGAAATAGGCCCAGTATAAAAGGTCAGCAGAGGCCCCTACCTTTTGAGCCAGAAAAAACTGGGTCGCATTGACCAGCCCAGCTTGTTCTGTTGAAGTCTACACGGCCAGCCCAAGCCAGCCCACCGTTTTTGAGCTACCAAAACCTAACGCGACGCAAGACGCTGATCCCCTTCTCTTCCCGGCCGCCACTACAGATCCCCTCCCTTGCGTCGGTCCCCGCCGCCGCCGCCCTCTCCGAGAGTCTCCTGTTCGGCACCCTAGATCAGGTCCGAGTCTCTCCTCTCCGTGTCACGTCATCGGCGCTGCCGTCGGTAAGTCCGAATCTCTCCTCGCCGCGTCACGTCATCGGCGCTGCCGTCGGTAAAGATGGAAGAGCAAGAGGATCGCATCAGCCTCCTCCCTGACTGCTTGGTTGGGCACATCCTCTACCTTCTCCCACCTAAGGCTGCCGCCCGCACCATGGTGCTTTCCCGCCGCTGGTCAAACGTCTGGCCCTCGCTGCCGCTAGATCTCAATCTCGACTCCCCCAATTCCGATGTCGACTTTCTGAGCGCCGAGTCTATTACATCTATCCTTTCTTCCCACCGTGGGCCTATCCGCTGCTTCTGTGTGACTACAGATGCCGGCTTTGGCACCCGCGCCTGGCTTAGAACCCTAGCGCAGAAGCGCCTCGATGACACCCTAATCTTGCGGTGGGCATCCGATCTAGATCAACCCACTCTGCCCGCCAACTTGCTGGGCAGCGCTGGGGTTAATCTACGCCATCTAGTTCTGCACTGCTGCCGGCTTGGTGGCCCTGGGAATACCCGTTCCCCTGTGCCAATCTTACCCCGCCTTGATTTTCTATACTTGTCCAATGTTCTTATCTCTGAGGCTGCTCTTCACAGCATGATTCAAGTCTGTCCTGTGATCCGCGAGCTACATCTATTTATGATCGATGGACTCCGCCTAATTTCCTTTCACTCGCACACCCTGAAAATCTTGTACGTCAGTGTGCCCCGTGTTCCTCTCGATGAATTCTCCGATCAGCACATGCCAAATCTTGAAAGGGTGACTTTTGAATTTGTCAATCTGTGGCGGATACCAGCCTTCACTATTGACTCTGGTAAAAAGGTCCGAGAGCTTGCCCTCAAGCTTCCTACGATGGACTCACCGCACCTTAGTATTATTTCTAATCAGGTATTTGCACCAGCACCACTGTGATTCGATACATAATTGGTGATTTTCTATTCCATGAATCTCAATTTGCAAGCATACTAATGCTTCTATTGTTGCTTGATGCAGAGACGTCTATTCTTTATAACGTCACTTGTTTTTGGTATGAAATTTGCTGATGGTAAAGAATTGAGGAGAGGAGTGCACATCTTAAGCTTATTTCCGCGTTTACAACGACTTGAGATTAGGGTATTTATTTCCTTTAGATATTTATTTATGATGTGTTATTTTTGTTACACTCACAGCTATGATGAAATAGAGGGGATATGAGTCTGTCCTAGGTCTAGTTATGCTAAGTTGGATTAAGTTTATAGATAAGAGTATTATTAACATCCACCACATTAAAGTTGGATCTGAGTTTGTACACCAGCGTTGTTTATAGTATATGGTACTTTATATTCCCTCTACTCCAAATTATGTTCCAACTTAAATTTCACTCACTAGTTTATATAAAATAAAATATACACTAATATTGCAACATTGAATTAGTTTTATTTTATTAAGTTATCCATGAAATGTGTTTTTTTTTTGTGCATTTATATAACTTGCATATGTTAGTTTGATAAGTTTGATTCAAAAAAAAAAGCTAAGTGACTTGTAATTTGATATAGAGGTAATAGTTTTATAAAACTACATTATTTAGTTGAAACACTTATTTCATTAAATCTTCTGATACATTTATGTAACTAGTACATATTACACATCACATAATAATGAGATAATTACACTAGAGAACTTTAAGGATGTGTTTGGTTGCACGCCCTTGAGACCCAAGCTAAATCTTGGCTATTGATTAGAGAAACCAGCTATCCTAATTTGGCATGCCTGAGCTAACATTGCTAGGATGAGCTAACACTGTCGATGTGTGGTTCTTTTTTCTCTGTTGTTGATTTTTCTCTATTCCTGCCAAAATTTGGCTACCAGCTTAGGATTGGTAGGGCTAGATAGAAGCTAAAACCAAACATGCCATAAATCTTCTTTTTATTAAAAAGGCTTACATTGACATAATATTTACGATTAAGGTTTGGTCTATGATTATTATATTTCAATAACATAATGGTATACAATATAAAAAATTTAGATTAGATTTTTATGATGATACTGTAATTCATGTTGATTTAGTTTACGTAGTGTTTAGTTTTTTATATTTTCTTCTTCCATTTTTTTATTTTCTATTTTTATCTCTAATATTTCTAAATAAAGAATGGTAATCTTTATATTCTGAAAAGATATATGCTTTTCTTAAAGCACTAATAGATTTTTCTTTGCTATTACTAATTTTATAATTATTTAAGAAAATTTTCTCAATGTATATCGCAGTGTTTTAACTTTGGCACACCGAATGCTCAAGATTTTGGAGATTGGGATTCACTTTTAGAGACAACCATTCTTCCGATGAAACATCTAAGACACATAATATTTAATGGTTATTGTGGCACCATAGGAGAGAATGAATTTGCAAGATATCTGATGTGTAAAGCAGAGTCGTTGACTTCTATGGAAATTAATCATGCTGTTGATTGGAATTTGCAAGATATCAATTATCAAAAAGAGTCAATATGCAGCAGTGACAAGGCGTGTCATCTTTGTTTTATGAGAAGTAAGGATTCAGATACTATGCGAAGAAAGATAGCTCAATTTATGCATGGTGTGGCTTTCAATTGATTAATTTGCACGTGTTGTCCAACTGTCGATGGTTTATTATGTATTGCAATGGTGTGTATTACAATGGTGTTTGTTGAACATCATGTCCTTGTGAGGACCTATTGACATCCAAATAATTACCAATATGGTGGCTAATGTATCTACCCAATTGTTTGGTGGCTAATATTTCTATGTCTACTCAATTGTTTATGCTTCACCTCTGTGTGTGTGTGTGTGTGTGTACCCAGCTCTTTAATTAAAGTTTCTAGAAATTTCTAGTCATATTTGTCGAATGATGAAGAATAGACCTGAATATGTATATATGCACTTTTTGTCTGTGTGCTTACTTTATTAGATATTATTAGATATAGACGAGCTTTTGCAATATCTATATACACTAGATGTAAAGGTGGAAGTTTCTAAACATATTTTCACCCAAAAAAATTAAGTACACCTCACTGTACATGCTCAGGGTCACTCACAGAGTCACAGCCCAACCACCGCCCCGCTGTCGTGCTAAGAAGGTTGAAAGGTTTGCTGGCGCAGCAACATCCTACGGTAAATCCTCCTTGTCCCATACCCAAGCTCACAGGCGCGCAATGGATGAAACTTACTCTTGACGACCCCACAAAATGCATAGACAATTTGTGTATGTCCCGTGATGCCTACATGCATTTGCATAACATGTGCTTCAGTTCGGGCTGCCATCTACAAACAAGTGTAGTTCCGTTGAAGCTTTAGGAATGTATGTCTAGACTTGTGCCCACCAGTCTGCTAGTAGAGAATGCAAAGATAGATTTGAAAGGTCGTTAGATACGGTTAGCAGGAAGGTAACTGCACTAGCATATGTTATGTATAGGTGGACATAGACTATACTAGTTCCAACAGATAGGAACTACCCACGAGTCAGCCAGAAACTTGCTGAATATGCACCATGGTTTGATGGGTATATAGGTGCTATAGATGGTACCCACATAAAGGTTGAGGTTAGTTAGGAAGCCAAAGCCGACTTCTTCAATAGGAAAGGAGAAACTTCAATTAATGTTTGCGCCATTGTGGATATAGATGGCCGCTTCACCTATGTGGGTGCCGGGAAGGCGGGAGCATGTCATGACATGGCGGTCCTAAAAGACTGTCAGGCCGATGAATGGTTCCCGCATCCACCCGCAGGTTCGTGATGACTTGCAAATATCTTTGATGCAGCATGTGTGTAGGTAGTTGGCAGGACATTGTTGGCACTAATTGTGGAATTGTTTCAATTTTTGTAGGACGCTACTACCTGGCAGACGCGGGATACACGGAGAGTCAAGGATACATGACTCCTTTTCGGAATACAAGGTACCATATAAACGACTTTAGGGGCGTAGAGTTGGAGACGTTAGAATGTGAGGAGAAATTTAACTACATTCACTCGAGGCTGCGAAATGTAATTGAAAGAAGATTTGGAGGGCTCAAACAACGGTGGCATATTGTGGAACGGGTTCCTTACTTCGCGAGGAAAAAGCAAGCGATGGTTATCATATCATGCTTTACAACGGATAATTATTTGTGGCTGCGTAAGTATGGACATAATGCACCGTCGTATGAGCTATCGGAGTGGGTGGTTCTAAATAGTGGAACCCAAACAACTGCAGTAAGGGAGTTGATATCAACTGTAGTGTGGAGTGGAATATGATTGAGGGAAGGTGATGTAATGAACCTACTTTAGTACTTGAATTTAAGTTAGGTATTTAATGAATGCATTATGTGTGGGCCAAGATTTGTTAACCCTGATGTATGTTGTAATCTTTTGTTGTATGGATTGAACAAATGTAGTGTCATTTGTTGGGTATTTGTAACGGACTGTCATTTGGTAGCTACGAACTAGAAGCAGATCCTGTTGAGTAAGTGCATGCATAATCTATACAAGGTAATTAACTGAATGGGTCAAGATTATTTCATCATTTTCTAGTTCCTTAATTTAATCATGTGTTATTTTATTAAGTTTACACTACAATCAATTATCCAATATAGTTCAGATTAGTAATTTACATTGTAAGTGATAATAAAAGACATTGTTGTTTGCTCATATGTGGTGTTCTTAATTTTGCAGCCACTTCAAGAAACTGTAGCCACTAGTGAAGGACATTGCTGCTGAATATGTCACTGACATAGTAAGTTTATTTTGTGAAGTTATGTGTGAGAGGGAGGAAAATGACCCAGCACCCAGATCATTCATTCATGTAGCCTGTAGCTGTACATACATGTTTGCAATTTCTATGCGAGATGTAGTAGCCCTCTTGAATGCTACTTGTTTTGCTTTAACTATGGCAAAGTTGTGATATGCTTTTTGCACAAAGCGAGGCATATTGTATCTGTTTAGATGCATCATACTAGGACAAGCATATCATGTCGTGCTTCCATTTTGGCAACTGGTGTTTGTAGATTGTCCTTCCTTTAATTTGAGCACCTTCATTTGTACATCCTTTAATTCTATTTCTGGTGGCAGCAGTCCATTATTCTTGTTTGAGGCATGCACATTATACTTTTACTTTTTTTGTTATATTTGAGCTATGAAGAACACTTAGGCAGACATAATTATTGGCCTACTGTTACTTTCTTTGTACATGTTGTTATGCCTGCTTAGAAGATGTATAGAAGGGGTCAAGAACTGGATGACATAACTTGGATGCCTTCTTTTGATTTTTGATTGTTTTGTATGTATTTGTTGCTCTGAATCGAAGAAAATTCTTCGCTCCCTGCTCATTGTAGTGGTATTGACTTTTATCTTTGATTAGACCATTGCTCATGATTCTTTGTTCATTTGTTAGGAGTTCTTAGAAGGCAGGAAGATGTTCTCAGTTGAGGCTAAAGAACAAGCTAGATTTCAATGTAAGGAGGACTGAAATACCATGAGAAATGATTAATATAAGTGTAGTTCATCAGTTGATTCGAGTTGATTCGATCGTCTTTATAAGTATCTTACTAGTGTCAGTGCACGTTGGAACCTAAGTTATAGTTTAAAATTCATGGCCATGGCTACATACTTTTTTTTGTCAGTGTTTGGTAGTTTTGTTGGACTTAGAGAACTGAAATTGGTTAAGGAGAAAAGTTTAAATTTGAAATAGCTATTCAGCCAATTTGAATTAACTAAAGGCTAACTAGCTGCTGAAAGCAACTGTCAGCAGCAGCTCCAGCCAGCCAATTCAAGCATGCCGAACAGGCTGAGAGCTGCCTCGCCATTTTGGTGGACGGACAGCTACCACACCCTCGGTGGGCAGTGGCCCTCCGTTATATATATATATATAATCATGACTGCCAGCTAAAAAGCTACCCATCGTACCAGTGGATGCCTCCAGCGCCGGAGCTTTCACAATGTGTCCAGAGTTTGAAATTCCACCATCAGCAATAACTGGTACATTGTGATCCTTGGCATAAGATGAAACCTTACACACCGCTGTTGCCTGCTCCACCAACACAAAAAGAACATCAAACACAAACATCAGTATTGAAATTATTGTCTCTACAATATACCATAGGCAGAAAAACCCTGGGAATCATTTGTCTCCACTATCCACCACAAGATAACAAAAATTTAAAGGCTCCTCTCTATAACATGACTAGACTACCAAGAATCCATCAGGAAATAACAACATTTCCATATATATCAGACTGTACTTCAGGTAGAAATGCACTGTAGCACATGGGGAAAGCACTGTGCCAGCCTACCAGGTCTAGACAAATCTAAGACCATGACATCCTAAAGAAACATGGTACTCAACCTGCAAGAATATGAATGGAAGGAGACAGCACCTAATAAAAATTCCCAATGATTTTCAATGTCCTAATTACTTCATAAAAGCTCAAAATTAGACCAATCATCCATCAGTGTCTTCCAAGCATATGAAACAAGGACTACATATCCCCTACCTGAAGTACAGCATGTTCGGCTGGGCTTATACGATCGTAAACGATCGTAAATTTCAAGCCAGAACAGTATTTTCCTCTCACACCAAACCAGCCAGCAGTACTTCTTCACGATCCAGCAACGAACAAGCCCAGCCAAACGAACAGGCTGTTAGATGCTCTCATGTCAACAAATCAGAATTGGATGCTTGCACTGGATATAGCAAAGATTTCAGTATGTTTAGCAAAAGAAAGGACAACATTTGTTTCCACCTTGGTCATGGACATCTAAGATAACTTCAGATCATAAGACAGCTCAGAGAGCAACAAAACGAGCGTGCGTGCCTAATGGTAAATGATTCAGGGTAGCCAACAAATTTGACAGCAAGGTAAATGAAGTAAGCTGATGGTGATGCATTAGAATACTGAGAAAACAAGATTTCATGAGGATTTTAGCATTTACCTGTCCTCTTCCAACAGCACAAACCTCTTGGGTGGTACAAATTGAGCCAGAACCCATTCCAACACGCAATCCATCCGCACCAGCTTGAATAAAATTCTGGGCTTGCGCAATTGTCACCACATTGCCCCCGATCAAATCCACATCCGGGTACATCTTCTTGGCAAACTTTATCACATTGCCCCGGCAGGAAGATGACATCGTCGTAGGTGCAGGAGACGCCCTGCAAGAAGAGGCGCAACGGCGTGAAACCATCGTCGCCAATGTCGGCGCTGCTAGCCGCCATTGGTGGATTGGGGGGGGGGGTTTAGGGTTTTTGGCTACGGCGATGGCGGAGGTGGTGGCGGGAATGAAGGGAGGCGTGTGAAGACTAAGACCGAAAGAGAATGTGGCGTGCGCGCTGCTTGTGCTCATTGGGATTTGTTTGGCGGGTAGCAACGCGCATGATGATTCGATGACAGGTGGGCCCGTTTGTCCCGGCGGCTAGCCGAATCTGGGCTGGGAGCCCGGGGCGACGACAGAGGCACAGAGCCCACCAATCTGAGAATGTCCCACAAAAAAACATGATAATATGAATATTGTATGAGTGATATAATTTGAGGGAATCATAATAATTTGAGGGAATTATATGCTTCCATGGTCTCCGGCCACCATATCGGTCAAATGTCAAAAGTAGGAACAATCCTGTTTCTCTTTATATTTGTGCATACTCTACACTACTACATAAAACTTAATGGAGGCGGTCATTTTCGATTTTCGGAGGCGGGCATTGGAGCAAACTCCAATCAAAGGTCACGGTAAATGCGGATTAACAGAGGCGGTCGCTTTGCCCGCCTCCGTAAATCGATTAAAATAACGAATAAAAGAAAAAGCATGCATGGGCCTAGATCTAGGCCTAGCGCTGCCACCATCGATCCACGGCCCCAGCGTTGCGAGCGTCACCAAGAGGAGGGAGCTGGGCCCCGCTGCCCTAGCGGCACCGGGAGGAGGGAACCGGACCCCGCGAGGGCATGGGGAGGACGAGGGGGCCGGGGACACGCGCCGCGCTGGAGGAGAGGGAGGAGGAGACCGGGGGCCGCGCGCCGGAGGGAGGGAGGGAGGGGAGGCACGTTGTTACCGCTGCTCCACACCTAGCGCTCCGCCAAGAGAGGGAGAGAGAGATGTCGGCATCAGAGGGAGAGAGAGGAGGGCCTGTGAGGGAGATAAAAAGACGTGTGTGCTGTTGGAGGGGATTTTTTTTTATTTTTAACACTTTTTGTAAACTAATTTTAAATCTAACACTGTTGTTTTTTTTAAAACTAACACTTTTGGCCGCATCTATTGCCATAGCGCGGTGAAAAGCCTATGCCGTGCCATGCATGGTAGCGCGGCGGAAGGATGACGTGGCTAAGACCGGGCGATGCTAACCGCTGACGTGGCAGGGGCTGTCGCGCCACCGATCTTGGCGCGGCAGTGACACGCCCTGATCCGTGGCGCGGCAGAGCCGGATAAAAGGCCCGCGGCCCAGTCCCGCCTGCCTGCCGCGCCCGCCGCGCATTCGCTCTGTCTGCCCGCCACGTCCACCCGCCTGGCCGCTGCGTCGTGCCCTCCTGCCACTCCCAAGTGCTGTCGGCGACCGGCCCTCCATTGCCGCCTCCCTCCCTCCCTTCCCTTCCATTCCCCGGCCGCCTCCCTCCCTCCTCGGCCTCGTTCAAGGTATTGACATACTTTTTATTTTTGTTTGAATGGTGGATTAGAATATTATGAATGGGAGTTAAGGTTAGGAGGAAAATTATATTTGGGAACTATGGGCTATGGTTTGGAGGAAGATATTAGTTTGATTTTGCCAATGTTAAGGTTAATTATTTAGTTAGAAGTATGTTTACCATGTATTTTTTTGTTGCTATAAGTGTTGGTTATATTATTTGAGTTACAATGCAAATGATTATATTTTACATTAATTTGTGTTGTTTTGATTGATGTTTAATTTGAACCGTTTTATTAGATGGAAGACATGTTTCGGGAGTAGTTGTGGCGAAAACGGGGTCATCCTAGAGAATTGTACCCCAACGAGTCTAGCATAGATGCCCCCATCCCTCCTAACCTCCCTGTCCCTAACTGTGATTGTGGTCGTCCGGCCGACGTGTTTCAATTGAGACATCCAGACACAGCGGCTTGTTGCTTCTACACATGCAATCGTTTTAATGTAAGTAATTATTTTCGTATGTTTTTTTCTTCATTTGTATTACTAGGTTACTAATATTTTGTTGAAATTTTGTTGTGTAGGCCCATGAGTGGTGCCTTTTCTTTCAGTGGATCGACGGTGCAGACAAGTTTGACCCCAGGTACCTCCTTTTCGACCATTGGTGGAGAGGGCGACATCCACGAGAGCACTTCGAGCGGTGAGTTCCACCTCCCCCTAACCCCCTCCAATGACGGCTAAGGAGAAGCACTTAGCCACAGTTAGATGACTTGAAGAACCTCCTCTGTGCGATTACGAAGATTGAGCTGTGATAAACCCTGAGAATACGTTGGAGTTTGTGTGTCCAAACAAACATGAAGTAAGTGTAAAGTGTACGTGTTGAAATGTTGAGTTATATGTGTTCATGTACTAATGTCACCTTATTTAGGTGTTTTCAATGGCGAAGTGTCATTTCAAGGAGTGGTTGTATGGTCCTAAGAACCAATGGCCGGAAGAACCGCCAAAGGCAAAGCAAAAGAAGAAAGAAAGGTTAATTTACAAAGCACCTCCAGTCAAGTGCGAATGTGGTGTTAAATCTAACTATGGTCTAGTCCCTTCGGAGCTTGGAATAGGCCATTATTGTGGCCATATGGTAGACTATGATGAGGTTGGTTATTTTTATGGTAAACATAAAATCATATTTTATTTCATTTGCTAATACATATATGATATAATTTTTTATTTGAACAGAGCACAAGGAAATGCAGGTGGGAATGTTATGATGGTCAAGCTAAGTTCTTGGATGAACTGAAGGGGAAGCAAGTAATTACACGAAAGAGGGGATATGGACCTGACTACGTCAACCTATTCGTTAAACATCACAAAGACAAGATGCGTGAGTTTGCTAGACAACGCGGTATTTGTAACCCGATCGATGTTGGGCTTGACGAATGGGATTGGAGAGACGGATGACGTTAGAGGAGGAGAGGGCAAGAAAGGAGGCAAGGGAGGAGACAAGAGTACAGATGCAGGTCTTGAACGAGCATATTGTTGCATTATGTGCCAGTGAGTGTTTGAAAGCCTTTTTTTCGTTGCCTGATTTTAAATGTAATAATGGTTTTGCTAACTGATTGCATTTTATACATAAAGGGATTGGATGCAGCGAGGAATATGCTGTAGAGGTGGCTCATGCAAGGTATGAGGAAAAGAAGTTAGATGAGCACAGAACGCGAGCAGGTCGTACCGTTGAATCACTGATTATGTTGTCTGATGAGGAGGACGAGGATGAGGACGACACTGCCAGACTGAGCGAGCTCATCGCTCTAGCAGAGGTAGGCTTGTAGGCGGAGAAGGCTGAGGATGACACTGGTAGACTGAGCGAGCTCATCGCTCTAGCAGAGGTGGGCTTGCAGGCGGAGGATGAAGACGATGCGTTCTTCACTCAGGCCGCAGAGGCCGCAGATGAAGCGGAGGTCGCTTACTACAGGCGAAAGGTAGATCAGAGCAATGTAGGTGACCCTATCCATAGCAATAGGGTTGTGGTAGAGGATTGGTACTTAGACGATGAGTTGCTTACTCAGTATGTTTCTGACTGAGGGTTTTTGAATTGCGCCGTGTATCAGAACTTTCATTGTGTTGTCTTGTTTTCCATTTGAACTATTGAAGTATTGTACCCATGTATCATGTACTTGGATTACCCATGGTCGATCTTAAGTGATCCCATCCGTTTGTCACCCTCCGACCTATCCATTTGTCGCTCTCCAAGTTTTTTAATAATAGCAAATGCGTTGAGAATTTCTAAAATGAACAAAATTGACGCGCCAACCCTAAGCCCAGGTTTTGTCTGTGTCTAGGTTCTGCTGCGCCATAGCCTATGGCGCGGCACTAACGCGCCAAGCCCCACGGCGCAGCAGTACCTGGACACAGACAGAAACTGACCAGCCTCAATTGCAACTGAACGGGAGCTGTTGTCAGTGCTGTAAATAACTACAAGTGCTGTCGCGACCATACACACGTTGAAACAAATATGAAGCAAATAAATGGAGTCTGTGCGCAAGTTGACAAGTTGCAAGTTTCGGACGATAATATTCGTTCGACATAAGTTCGACATAACCAACTAAGTCCCAGGAGTGAAAGGATCCCTCGGACGCCTCTTGGAAACCTCATCGTCGTACTCCACCTCAAGAAGGTGGTACATCTGGTGCGGCATGGGAGGGGCCATCCTGTTACAAAATTAATAAACAAAGGGTTAGAGTATTCAAATTAACAATATTCAATTTAACATTATGTAGCATTGCAAAATTTGAACTACTTGGTATACAATACGAACACAATATGAAAGCACCTGTTGCCCTCGTCTTCTATGCATGCTAGCCTTGTGACCAGGAACTTTGCAAACGGAGCAAAGATTCCTGCCATGGGTATCATTGAAGTCTCCCCCTCTGTACATATCTTCGTCGTACCCTCTCATAGCGTCCATGTCCCCCTTGAGTCGCTTCTCCTTCCTCCTACCCTTCCCTACCTTCATTAGATCCAGATGCGGCACGTAGTCATAACCATTATAAGGTGGCCACTATGTCGGGTCAAGGTATGGCTCGAAGCTCATCTCCCAAATACTAACGGTGTTCGAACGGAGATACAAGGGTGACATATATGGCAGATCCTCATAGTTGTACCCACGACCCCTGTAGGCTGTGATCATATGAGAGCAAGGGGCATGCATGATCTGAGGGATGTTGCAACTGCACTCTACCTTTTCAAGATCAACTCGGTAGTTTCATCCACCATAACGTTCGCTGCCCAAGCTTGTGCCACCCTTGTCCCGTACACTAAAGATATGGCGGCGGGGTCCATACGGCTCGACGGTGTGCTGCTTGGCCAATTCCTCGGCCTCCTTCAAAAGTTCTGCTCCGACCTTTCCAAAATGCCCCTACTCAGCTATATTCCTCTACGCAAGTTCCCACCTCCTAACAAAATATTCGTTGCACTTATGAAAGGAGAACTCAATAATTCCAGACACAGGCAACGATCGAACTCCGGTGAATACACGGTTGAAGGACTCCGATGAGTTAGTGGTCATGATGCCATACCTGAA